AAAACATATTGGTTAAAGTTGGTTTTCATTCCTTTTGAACTTCCACAACCTTTCAGTTTTGAAAACCAATAAATAGAAATTAAAACCAATAATGGTTAAAAGTTGGTTTTCATTCCTTTCGAACTTCCACAACCTTTCAGTTTTGAAAAACCAATTACAACCTAAAAGGTTATGGTCTTTATTCCTTCCCAAGTGGAAAAAGAACACTGCCATTTTTTTCTAAATCCTCTCAAGGAAAAACATAAGGCACCAAAGGGGAAAGGTTAGAAGGCAATAAACATAATCAATAACAAAGAAGTTCATTATAATCACGCTTCCGTTTAACCGTTCATCAATGGATTCAGGTATGTCATTTTGTCTTGATTTCTTGATAATACACATGGTAATGATCCAAAGTGTAAGGTTTATGTTCTGAAATTTATGTTAACACTTTCAGTCAAATTTTTTGGGGTACTTGTAATATATCCTATCAATTTTTTAGCTACATTACTTTCTCAATTGAATGTATAAGAAAATTAGAAAATTCTATAAAAATAGATTTCTTACATAATTGATGAAGAATAATAAATACAAATATTAGAGATGAAAATTTGAAAAATAATTATAAATAAAATGATTTTTTTTTTTTGCAAAAATACAAATTTACCCTTCTCATCATTTCACTTATATTTCTTCTCTTTCATTTTTGAAAACCTCAATCCTTACAGGCACCATCTTTTCAATGATAGTAGTAGTAACAATGGCTATGAATACCCCTTTCGGCAACCACCAGTCCCTTCTACATCCTCCTCGGGTTACCCTAGCCCTACTATCAATGTCTTAGAACACCCCCAATAAAAAAAACACTTATTATTTCTCATACAATTTTTTTTATATTTTTTAAGGCATAAATAATTTTTAAAAATTTAATTTTTTATGGCAATTGTTTTTTATCAAATTAATTTTTAATTTAAGGTAAAAATTAGATACCCATCTAAAACTCAACCAAAATATAGTGATTATTTTTCAAAACAAAATTAACATTATTATTCAAAACAAAAATTTAAATTAAATTTTTAAGTTTAGTGATGTGATAATTAATTAAAATATTAAAGTTAATATTCTTTCTTATATATTCTCTAATCATTAATTAATTATATCAATTGTATATAATTAAATTTTAGAAAAAAAAGCTATATATCATTTTTCAAAGGGTAAATTACACTGACCTCTCCTGAGATTTACCTTAATTACAGGGACCTCCCCTGCAGGTTCAAAAATAATATTGACCTCTCTTACTTTTGAAAATAATACCCAAATTCCCCTTTCCTGTTAAAAGAGCATTAACAGCGTTAACTTGATAAGAATTGACCATGATACTCTTGAACCACATTGTGAACAGACACAACTGACCTTAAGGTAAAAAAACCCCTTTCATTCATTCTTATATTATCTACATCATCATTATCATTATTAACAACTTAAAAAAATAAATAAATTATAGAACTGATAATACAAAAATTATTCTTTGAAATTCAATTACACCATAGGGTTTCGTTTTCTTCAAACAAAAATTATCCTTTTGAAATTCAATTACACCATAGAACTGATAATCAATCTTCACTATCTCTTTCTCTCTTTTCGACCGAGAACAACAATAACAACGACATCGATGCAACGCCGTTTCTTACGGACTAGATCTTTCGAAGCCAGCAGTTTATTCGATACCTGTCGAACCTCCGTGGCACGGCTTGGTTCCTTCGTCGCGCCAGCAACCAGGGAATGATGAGCGAGTTGTTAATGAGAGTATGCAAGTTAGCGACGAAGTAGATCGAGGATAGACAGAGCGATTGGGCATATTCACGGCCTGATCATGATTCTGAATCTCGTATAGAATTTGGCATTTGTAAATATGGCGACGACGGTGATGAGCCGAAAGGAGTCGTCGGCGATGTCGTTGATGGTTTGGATTGATCTGAGATGTGTGTGTGTGTGTGTGTGTGTGTGTGTGTGTGTGTGTGTGTGTGTGTGAAAGAGACGTAACAACGGAAGAGATAATCAACGGCGGAGAAGAGAAAGAGAGAGAAAGAGAAGATGTTGCGGTTTGCGGCGGGGGAGAGAGGCGGAGCACAAAGAGAGAGTAAGAGGGAAGAGAGATGGATAAATTACACTTACCTTCTTTGAAGGGTAGTATTAGAATTTGTAGAATAATTATGGATGACATCAACATAATCTGTTTGAATTTGGATGGATGGATAATAGAGGGGGGTCTTCGTATATTAGTTTTAAAAGTAAGGGAGGTTAGTGTTATTTTTTAAACTGTAAGAGAGATCCCTATAAAGTAAACCTTAAGAGAGGTCATTGTAATTTAGGAGTTGTTTGAGGTGTTCTAAATAAGTACACTTTTTGACTTTTTGAATAAAAAAATAGAGGAATAAAAGATGGTTATTTGCGATAATTTTTTGACTTTGTACGAAAAATGTGCATTAAAATATTGTATAAAATAGCAAAATTACATTATTACCCCTCTATCCTATACACACTAATAGTGCTGATTGAAGGATAGTACAGATTGCTTTCAAAATGGTGATAACTTTAGAACATATATGTATATAAAATGAGGCTTCACGGGTATTGTTGGGCCCATGGGGGCCTAGTATGAGTCCCGTTTTGATAATTAGAACAGTTGAATGTGTAGAAATCATCTAGTACTATATGCTTGTAAAAAATCACATTGATCAAATATCGATAGCTATCTGATCGGATTAGTTTTTTATCAACTATTAATTTGTTCACCGTCCATTTTTTTGATACAAAATTGATTTGTTCATATAATTATCGATATTCGATCAACGTGATTTTTTACATGCATATAATACTCGACGAGTTCTACACATTAAATAGTTCAAATTATCATAACAGAATCCGTGATAAGCCCGCACGGGCCTAACAACATTATCCTATGTATCATGACATGAGAAGAGCATCCGCTTGATTGTTTTTGTACCATCACTACAGTCTGCAAACTTCATTACAAAAGTTAAACTTGATTTGTTCCTTTTTTTTTTTTTTTGGGTATAAATTTATGTTTTTTATATTTTGTTTATAAATAGTAATAACTTTTTAATTTTTTTAATAATTTTATGACCTTTTATCTTTATGAATCTATTCCAAACACCCACTTAGCCTCCGTTTGGAAAGTAGGTTAACTTTTTAGCTTTTTTGGCCATTTTAGTATAGGCTAAAAAAATTTTGAAATTTTTTTTTTTACTTTTTTGTGAGAGAAGAATATAATAATTATAAATTAAATATAATACTTTATTTATTATAACTAAAATATCTTATTTTATCTTTTGTAACTATTTTAATCACAAATTAACGTGGCAAGGAATACCTTATTCTTTTTCAAATAAATTTAAACTTGGTCCGTGTCCAAACCAAACGATTGTGAAAGAAGCGTAAAAACTGTGGGACCCGCTGAGATGTAACCTGAATTATAATATCCTGCGATGCGGACATCTCGTGGTAGGGCCTGCGGAAAAAGAATTATTATTTTAATAGCCAAAAAAATGATGTTAGCGTGGTACATTTTGTCCTTTTCGGTGTCCTTGCTTTTCTGACTCCTCCGCTCACGTGGGAGATGAGAGGATATGTATGAAAACATTGCCGACTTATCATATCTTCCTATTTTGGTCCTGTTTGATAGAGCTGTTGGAAAGTGCTTATAGCTTATGCCTAAACAGCTTATAGCTTATAACTTTCAGCTTAAGCTGATTTCCAACTTATTCTTAAAGCACCTCCTGCCCCACTCAAAGAATAAGCTGTTTTCTGACTTCCACAAAACTATAAGCTATAAGCTAAACCAAACACAAACAGGGCCTTTGTCAACTATACCCAACCATCCACCAATAATAGCGTCCTTTAAAAATGGTGCTTTAAAATAATTATTAATGTGTTAGTATTCATTTAAAAAGAAAAAAAAAAAAAGAAAAAAAAAGATGCAACATGATAATGATAATGAATGAAATCTACTACCACATTATTAATTATGATATTAATTAGTGCTCTCACTCATTTACTCCAACCATTCCATGTCATCAATTTTAATTTGGTTGGATTCTCTATTTTCCATTTCAAAAACACATCTTATCAAATACTATCAAGTTGGAGGCCTCACAATTCTATCATGGTATTAGATTTTAGATGAAGCTTTTGCTTCAAATGGAGTACATATTTAGGCCTCTTTTAACAAAGAGATTAAATGTTATTTTTTATTTTTTAACCTCTTTTGAATCACAACACTTTTTTAAAAAGAAATTTAAAAAATTAATTTTAACTTCTTAAAATAATCCTAAGGTACATAATTATCCCTAATGGTGGTCATATCAAGTCTTTAGATTTAAATAAAATTTACAACTCCTTAATTAGGAATAGATGATTTGTCATATTAATTCAGTTCATATCAAAATTATCTCAATATTAATCTAATTTATTTATTTTTCATGCTACCGTATTGTTTTATTTATTTTTCATGTCATTATATTGTTTTTCATGGTACCACTTTCAATTAAAAATACTAAGTGTTGGCATGTGGAAAATTTTCACACTCACCCCAATTAATTTTAATTTTTATCGCATTGATAGGCTAAAAAAATTAACTATATTAATTCAAGATCCAAATTTATCAAAACAACAAAATGGTAATAATAAGATAATAAAATCTCACTGTGTTAATTCAAGGTCCAAACTCCATTGAATAACATAGAACAAAGAATGATTTCACAGTTTCACAATTCAAATCAATTAATTAATTATTATTTTTTTTTGAAAAAAAATAGAACATAATTTTCTTGGACTACCATGTGTGGGCTGTGATGTACAACAAGACCCAAATTTCAAGCCCAAACATCAGTTGGAGATAATTATGGGCTCAATCCAGTTAAGTCTTGTCCTAAGCAAAGCCCAATTAGGGTTAAACTTTGATGATTGACTTGGGCCTCGCCCACACTACTTACCAAATGGCCGTAGCAAAGAGCGAATCGGGGAGAGAGGGAGAGGGAGAGATGCAGAAGAGAGATCAGAGCAAGCAAGGCGGAGCTTCGGGTGGCTCCGCCACTCCGGCGCCGAAGAGAGGCCGTCCCTTCGGCAGCGGAAGCAGCAACGCCGCCGCAGCCGCAGCAGCTGCAGCTGCGGCCGCAGCGGCGGCGGACATGGCCGCGCCTTCAACTCTTCTCGGCCCCTCTCTCCAAGTTCACTCCAACTTCGCTGGTCAGTCCAAAACCCTAGCTTTTATCACTTCAAATATGTGAAATTAGGGATCTAAATATATCTAACTTCTATTCGATTGGTGAAACGAACAATGTGTTTTGTGAAACCATCATTTGGAAACATGGAATCCATGGATTGATTTGGAATTGGAATTGAACATATGGTGGTCTTCTACAACAATCACAAAGCATGAATTCTGTGTGCGGCCTAACACAATTTTGGAGTAGTCAGCAGCATAGTCAATAGCACTGTCTGTTGGGATTTGAATTGTGGCCCAGATTTTGATTTGAGTTGTTAGTTTTAAGTTTCTCGTTATGAAGTTCTTGCAAGAGAAGATTTTAACACTTAATGCGGAATCACACACATTGAAATCTAAATGATTACCTTTTACTTTACCAAAAAAAAAAAAAAAACCCAAGGCCTTGTCTGATTAACAGGATTAATAGTGGATTAGTAATCCCATGAATTAGTGTAGAATTAATTATCCAATTAAATTAGTGAGCTAACCATTTATTATGTATTCATTTTGTTTTTTTTCTTTCATACTTGAAATTATGATCCTTGGATCCAATATCCACCATATATGTAATCCGGTTAATAAAATTTGCAATCAAACATGGGAATGGTTAATCCCAATCCTATGCTATAATCCTTGTAATCAAACATGCCCTAAATGTGAAATCATTGAATGGTTATAAAAAATTGCCTAAAACATTTGGTAACAAGCCATGTATTCGTTGAATTTGAAACAAGCTAGCTAGCATTAGTTAAGAAATGAGGTATGGACATGGGAAACACGCATGATACGACACAACTACTCCTACCCAAAAAATCCTAAAAGAGGTAGATATGGGCTTTGTGGGCTATCGGAAATTTATTTATTTAAAAAAAGGTTCAGATATGGGCATAGTAAAGATAGGGGAAAGATCTAAATGCAAATTCTTAATATATATATATATATATATATAACCATAGTTGCTAAATTGATTAGTAATCAATATACTAATTGTGAACCGTAGTGTTTTAAAAGGCTCTAGGCGCACCGAGGTAATAAGGTCTCCTATAGCCTAAGTGCAAGGCGAGAGGCGAGGCAAGGCGAGGCACGCACCTCACCAAAGTGAAGCGCAAGTAGTAGAACAAAAGCAAAATTATAAAATAGGCAAACTTTTTAACATAACAAATATATACAGAAATTCAAAATCACAACAATTTCCGATAATCTTTAAACATAACATTTAATATTCTAAAAACTAGAAATATAATATCCAACAAAAGATATAAAGCATAACATTCAATCTTTTATCACTTTCTTCTGCTCTCTTTTGACTACGTTTAGTCATTTTATATTGAAGAGTTTTAAATCCCTGTGAGTATGCCAACAAAAAAAGCACTTAATCAACAGTTGGAGTAGAAAAATAGGTAATGCCTATGATGCCTACGCCTCGCTCCTCAAAAAAAAGCCCTTGCCTCAACTCTTAAGCTACGCCTTGCGTATTGCATATTGCGCCTCGCCTCAACCTGTTCGAAGCACAAGGCTATGCCTCATAGGGCTGCCTAAGCGCACCATTTAATACACTGAACCGAAATTCTCTTTTTTGAACCGTAAATCTAATTGTGAATCATAAGATTCAGAACACTTTTTAAAATAGATAGGAAAACACATATACATGTAAAAATTTAAAGTATACTGTAAAAGTTAATGATTAGACATATATTAATGCAAAACCTGTTTTGAATGATGACCTCATGGTCTAGTAACTCAAGCGCTTGCCTCCATGTCAAGAGATGCGAGTTTGAGTCCTGCCATAAGTAATTTGTAGGTTTGTATTACATATGTGTTACTGGTGTTCATTGATTCACTTGAAAGATACAAATTTCAAGGCACATCTTATAAGAAATTAAAAGATTCAAAGTTCAACTTGAAATGCATTTAACAAAATTTGCATCATAATTCATAAATTCATCACACACACTTAAACTAATCTATCGTTTCTTTTAAACCTTAATTTATTGACTTTATACTCTACACCGTACACCAAAACCATGGTCTCATATAAGATCACTAGATCAGTTCTTTCCCTTTTTCATAGCAACCTTTTCAACAAAGAAAGTTCCCAAATTTAAAACTTGAATAAGTTAACAATTCAATTTATATAAGTTAAGTTACTCAACTGCTAAATTCAAAGGGGTCAAAGTATCCAAATCACCAATGTTTTCAAGGCTATCAATGAACAATACCTCCAAAAGATTCCTTTTGAAGTAGAAACAGATGGCTAAAGCTAAATTTGAATATGAAAGCATTGTAGAGAAAGAAGAAATTCTGTCTATTGAAAATTTGAAAGTTGGGAGTTGAGAGCACAAAGTGTCCAAGACAATGAAAAAAGGAAAGAGAGGAGAAGAATGGAGTAGAATAATTTTGAAATCCTTTAAAGACTTTGAGACACCATTTTTAACCAAAATTGAAAAAAGGGGTTCCAAATTTGAAAAAGAACCATTCAATAGGATTGATGGTGAATGATATCTATCAATTTGGTCAATTCATCAATTGATCCATTGATCATCTATTCACCCAACTAATTTGTATGAATTATGGTTGAATTGACTCAAATCATAAGATTTGAATCTCGTATTGTATGAGTTTGACAACTTTGTATATATCTGTTATTTTAATCTAAAATAACAATTCCACTTTGGGCAATTTAGTTGTGGTTATTGAACTTCTGTAACTATGCCTTATGCTCATCAAGAAAAAGTACTCTTCTAATAGCTAATTGAGGTATCTGTTAGGCACTAGGTGGTTTGTCATTTGAGTTGCTTTGTCATTGCTTGGCAAGCTTGAAGGTATGAGAGGTGTTCACACCATAATATGGTGGATTGTCTCACACCAAATCATGACCGAATTGGTGGTAATATAAAACCTTCCCGCAGGAAGAAACAATCTGGGAATTAGTTTGGTTTGAATTTGAAATACATTATAAATAGCATTGTGACTCTTGGATAAGGAATGGCTGTAAACATTATAAATACATGGTCATCACAATGGTTTAGTCACCTGAAAATTTTCTCTTTTTATTCTAGTTTCTGGATTGCATTTTCTTGTGTGATAAATACCCTCACGGGATCACCAATCACTTGGCCACTGTTAGTTAATCTTTCAGTGGTATCAGAGCTTGGATTACACATTATCGCAGATGTTGAAATACAGTCCGGAAGAACAAAAATTTTCCGAACTCTTTTTACCCAAAAATTCAGAAAATTATTGACCGTCAATCTTCGGCATTGGTTAATTCCGTTTATTTATTTAATCATCACCAACGTGTTGTATTTCCAGAGAACTATCCAAAGAAAATAACCATTGGTGATGTTATTGTTCCGCTGAAAGTGAGGCCAAATTATACCATTGGAAGCAATTTTATGAAATATTTTTCGGTTCAAATTATGTCTCCAAATTAGTATCATCTTGTTTGTCTCATAATTTTGATCACAACGGTGAAATTCGTTGTGAAAAGGGCAAAAATTTGATCCACAAAGTTCGAATTTCAATGTTTGGTCGCTGACTCCTGTCACCGGAGAAGACGACCTGTGCAATACCGTTGTAGATTCTATTTTGAATAATCAATCCATTGGATCAAATTCAAAAATAAATAGAGAAGGCCCAAAAATTAGAGTGACAACCAGAAAGGCCATACCTTTGGGCTTAAAATTAAAAAGAAATTTTTTGGTCCAACCCAGCAGTCGGCCCAAATTAGCCAGGTGGAGCCTAGCAGCCCAAAGCCACAGAGACAGCCTAGTCCAGTGACACAACCAAGCAACCCAAACGCTTTATGCCCATATTCGCGCGTCGACCCAGTACCCAGTGCTCCGCGCCCGGACTCGCGTCCGTTTGCTCCTCGCGACTCGTGCCTGCCTAATCTGCACGCTACCCCGCGTGTCTCACTGGTTCGGTCCCAGCCAGTTCAACCCGGTTCACCCACAGTCCTGAACCAGCAGCAGCCTGGTTCAAGGGGTTTTTTGGCCCGTTCTCGCTCATTTCAAAGCCGTTTTTAGTCATTCAAAAGTTAAAATCTCCAAAATTCTTTAAAAAAAATTTCTTTGGGTAATTGTACTACATTTCCAGAAGGAAAAATTCGTGGAGAAGGCTATCCAAGGGTGTTACCTAGTAAAACATCCAAAGAAAAAATATTTAATAAGTACCGTTGTTTCCCTTGGGCTCATAACTATTTTTACAATACTCATAAGCAAAGCATTGGGTTTAATAGGCCATTGGGTTTTTATCATTCTTCTTACCCAAGGCGAGACGACCAATTTTTTGCTTATCACAAGGGTCGACTCAACAACTACAAGGCTTATCCTTATTCAGACTTGTTGTTGACTTGTTTTTTTTTTTTTGTATTTAATTTGCTTATTTTTTTATTTTAATTTGTAATATCCACATTTGAATTTTTATTTTCGCACATTTTGTTTTGTTTTGTTTTTTTGTTTTTTAAAGTATGGCTATTAAAAATGCCATGGATTCTTCAAGAATTGAGATGCTTAACAGAAATAATTTCTGAGCACGGAAATGTCACATTTCTTATCTTCTTACACATGAAAAAACATTGCACATTTTATCCACTTATAAACCAGATGATGATTCCAATTGGTTTCAAAATAAATGAATAGAAGATGATGCAATTGCAATGGCAAAGGCAACTATGTTACATGTTAATCAAATGAAATTAATTGCTAAAGAATTATCCAACGCTGATCACTATTTGTCGAACAAGATGCAAGTAACTACCATACTTAATAGTCTTCCATTGTCTTGGGATCATGTTGTCACATCTCTAACTCATAGCGAACAAGAGACTTCAATGGTAACATTGCCTGTACTCTTAGTTTTAGAAGAAGAAAGAATGAAGCGAAGGCGTAAATAAGGTTTGTCTTCTAACTTCTTGATTGTACAATCTTTACTACAACCACAACATAATTCCTACACACCATTCAACAAGAAAAAGACT